TCTGTGATGAGAGGCTTTGGCATGTAAATTGCATTTGCTACTCTTAAAAGAGACTTTCCAATGCTGCAATCCAGATAAATGTCCTTATGCACATATTATGTTAAATAAAACTCCATTATATAGCGCCAGACTGTTAATTATAAAAAAAACAAAAACAAGCATTTTGGGGAGACAACAAGAGTGTGGAAAAAGAAGATGAAAACAAAAAATGAACCACACATTCATATGTAAAATGGCACATCCCAAAAAAAAGGCCACTGAGATGCTGGAGGGAAACAGTAGAGCAGAGCAGCTGTTTAGGACTAGCCTGTTACAAAAAATTAAGTAGCCCTATAACTGCTTTTAAAAAAAAAAGACATCAAAAACAAGAGGGCAGGAGGGAAGGGGGAAATAAGGAGGAGAAAAGAGGGGCGGAATGATGAGGGAGGGAGTAGCAAAACATTAGCCCCATATGTGGAACGTGGCTACTGCAACATCACACAACATCAAATTTCTAACAGGCTCACAATAAACTTTGCAATCTTCCATAAAAAATGAGAAAAGGACAAATCAAGAGGCAGAAAAAAGAAACAACGATGGTAAAACTGCTGTCAGCAGAAGCCCTGAGCGCTTGTGGCTGACTGGTTTCAACAAGACCTAAATGAAGTTAGGTTCTATTGATCTAAATAACATTTAATCCCACTTAAGTATGCTTATCTGCTATCCTGAGTGGTTCAATAAATGTGCAAACAGTTTATTTGATTCCCATTGCCACTAAATGGCCTGTGATAGCCAGAGCTTTATCTGTTAACTTTGGTAGGAGATAATGCAGAGCATGTCTGCAAAATGAAATCACGTTGACGTCTATACAGTAACAACTCTCTGACATGCCACTAGAGGCCACTGTAGCAGCAGCAAACAAATACAGCTGAAAATCACATCAAACACATCATCATCATCATCTTAGAATTGCAGAGCTGGAAAGGACCTTATGAATCGAGTCCAGCCCCTGTCGAAGAAGTGCAGTGGGGAATCGAACTCACAACCTCTGGCTCTGCAGCCACACAGCTAAAGCACTAACATAAAATATCTCAAGTGTATGTTGGATTTGTTTTCCATCATACTTTTACTTCAACCCTGTCACATAGTAGCTCAGGATGGCAGAGGGCAATCTGTAGGTCAGACAAGAATAAACTAATAGCAGAGTATATACAATATGTTGCCAACTGTGCATTTATTATTAATGGGAATGGGAGTTACAATTGTTGCTCACACTTCAAAGGACTCAGACATCTTATAAATTTTATTACTCTTCCCATTCACTTTTTGTTGGATTTCAATAGTATATTATTTCCAAAATTAGAAACATTGATGATGATCAACACTCACTGGGAATTAGAAAGAGTATCCTCACTTGCTATGTGCCACCCAGTTGGAACTGATTTACAGCGTCCTTAATAGGGCTTTCAAAATAAGTGAGATATTTTGGGGGTGGTTTTACCAGTTCCACACCTGCAGTGAGTTTCCATGGCTGGGCAGTGACTTGAACCCAGGCCTCCTAAGTTCTCCTCCATTACTCTGTTCACTACAACTGTACTGTATTGGGTATTTAGCTTGGGTAAGCAAAATTTGTTTATAACCTTCACTAATGACTTGGAATAGTAATTGCAACTCACTACTTGCCCTATGTAACTTTCCAACTTATTTTCCTTCCTTCTTTTTTAGTGCGCATTTTGTACTTATTAGGACTCTGAACTTCTAAAATCAGTAACTTTACATCCAATCCCATGCATGTTAACTTAAACATAAGTCCCAGTCAATTAATGATTATATGTTGTCCCATCAGTTCTAACTTCTGCTGGCCCTTCCCAGGTCTGAGTAAAAGGTAACAAAGGTGGCTTACCAGTTGCATTTTTAGTGGTGCTTTTGGACCGCACAACTTGCCCAAGGCCACACAACCACATTCTTCCCCAAGGAGACACAGTGCAGAATTGAACTCTTGACTCCTGGCAGCCAGGCACTCCAATCCACTGAGCTATCCTCTCTGCTCCATAGAATTACATACGCCTAAATCTAGTTGGCAATCCCAGCTAGAGTAGACCCATTGAATCCGCTCCTGAATGGGGAATTAGTATTTACGTAAATCCAATTGAATCAGTGACTCTTCTTGAGACTACCATCTGGATTTAGATGACAGTACTTACCCTCAAGTTAAATATAAATGATATATAATAAATCAGAATTCATTTACTACAGAGAGATGTTCTTTAGATCAGATTGGATACTTGGGAGAGGAATTAAACTCTACTGTGGGACTTTGTATAGGACTGGGTTGCACAAATCAAAGATAAAGCTCATCAACCAAGAAAGCCTGTCAGTCCAGACTTAATTAATTTTATTCAGAAGAGAATGCTTTTCTTCCCAATAAGGAATGTTTAGGATTGTAACTTGGAAGTTAAGTACAATTGAGTTGAATGAGGCTTAAAATCATCAAGATTAAGCTGGGAAAAGTTGAGGCAGCAGGAAAAAACAAGGACTGAATAGAAGAGGGACTGATTCAATAAAAGAAACCACAACCTTGAGTTTGCAGGACCTTCTGGAGTTCACTAATTAATTGGATCCACATAAGTTGGAAGTGATCTGATGGCACATTATGATAAAAAAACAATCCCAATAAAGTACTGTATAGAAGATATGGAAGATATACTACCACTTGATTTACTCATTGATATATTCATTCATTACTGATACCCAGTGTGATGTAGTGGATACATTGATGGACTAGGACTCAGGAGACCAGGGTTCAAATCCCTGCTCAGCCACGGGGAGTAGAACTGATCAAATCATATAGAAACTCACTGGGGGAGTAGAACTGATCAAATCACCCCTCAAATACCTCCTTTATTTTGAAAACCCTATTAGGGTCACTATCAGTCAGTTCTGACTTGATGGCACAGAACAACAACAAACATTCATTTGTTCTCCTGTGTTTCAATGAGGTCTGTGTAGCATACATTGCTTTCCTCCTCTGCACTTTCCCTTCACAACAACCCTGGGAGACCCCCCATACTCTCTCTGTGTGTGTGTGTGTGTGTATGAGAGAGAGAGAGAGAGAGAGAGAGAATCTTAGACAGGTGCTGTAAAGTTTCTTCCAACTTTTGCTGACCCTCGCAGAAGTTTTGCACTTCTGCAGCATGTATCTATTGCAAAACCTCCAAGGACTGATTTATCATTGCCAGCCCCACAGCGAGTTCCATAGTTGAGAAGGGACCTCCGAGTCCTAGTCTGACATTCTATCCACTACTCTATCCACTATGGACTGCTTGCCCTTAAATACTACTACAATAAGTAGAAAATAGGGAGAGAAATAAATATGAGATTAGATAATACTGTGTTGTTTAGTTACTCTAGTCCCATGCGTGGCCATGTCTATCTTGCGCCTTGGGTATAAAGCACTTAACACTCTTCTAGGCTGAGAGACAGATTGGCATTAATCAACAGAGACCAACAGAGAGCGCTGCAGATC